AGACTGTTTGAGTTGCTTGGTCCTATGGGAGCATCTCGTGAGGTGCAACGGAGGGGTGACCAGCCCCAACCCTAGGCACCAGACCATACTGAGAATTTCGGAGGCGCCCGTACCATCCCCATCCGAGCGGTCAAGTTCCTCTCTTTCGCAGCCTGTGAATGCTGGGGTCTCCGAGGTTTTGTAATTTCTTAACCTATCTCGATAATCACCGTAGTCTTTTCCTCAGCTCTGTTCTATTCCTGCGTTTTAAAAAAAGCTGCTCTTCATCCCTATTCTGACTCCGTTAACTGCATCTACAATGACCGCCCCTCTCTCATTCTCTTAAAAGTCATTCCTGGTCTGCTTAAGTTAATTGTTCGATTTTTGTTCTCGATATAATCTGTATTATATGCGTTTTTATTTACCGCGAGTCATCCTTCCCCTCATTAAATTTAGACTCCAACGTTTTTCGCTCCACAAAGTCATGCAACTTAATAAAACTCTTCATTTTCTGTATGGTCATCCTATATTTCTTTCTTCACACTGCAAGATCAGTTTTTTTCATGCGCGATCTCTCGACTTCCTTTCATCTCATTATACAAAGACCTGAACACTGGATACGTGTCTGGTGGAGCTGCGTCTACTCTGTTCTCGAGCCATTCGACTCGTAAACTACTCACCCGTAACGCACAACTTCAACATTTGGTAGCCGCCGAGCAGTGGTTTCTATATTCTTATTTCACTGTTTCTAGATTCACTTTTGTCGGACCGATCTTGCCCTTAACCCTTGTTGTTCCTCGTTTGTCGAATATGAAAGCGATTTGTTACTTGTTTCAAGGGACTATCCATGTGTCGCACTTTGACTTACTGTCATTTTTTATCTAAGAAGGGAAGAGTTGTAAAACACGCCTTCGGACCCTCACTCCATTGTGAAGGATTGTTCTTTTCAGTTGATCGATTCAGAACGTTTCATTTCATGTTGTCTCAGCAAATTCATTGTGATTTCGGGAGAATCTTCATTGTAGATTAGAATTTTCCTCGCCTCGATTTATTGTTGGTTTCTCTGAGTCGGAACTATTTCACTATCACTGAATGTTTTCCCGGTTTTTCTACCTGTCGTACAGGCAAGCAAAAAGAAGAGCAAGAAGCACAAGCCGCTAAAGAGCTACAAGCGAAGAAGGAAGAGGCTGAACGGCAGCAAGTAGCAGAAGCAGCAGCTAAACAAGAATTCAAGTTCGACACGAGCAAAGCTAATTTGAATTTACGCAATTACCCGTCGCTCGTGCTTCAGCCGCAGATGGTAGATTGCCGTGTGCAGAGTGTTACACTCGAGGTAAGTGGCCTACAATAATTATTCGGAATTTTTTTGTAATCGCTTCGTTTGATGTTGAAAAGTGATGCATTTATCAATTCATGTTCTTAGGTGTAGGTTTCAGATCTGAAGTCAAGTTTGACCACCCTAGTATCACAAAAAACAGCTGTTCGAAAGATTCTGGATGCGCTCTATAATTTGCGGTTTCGTTCACCAGGAATATTGGTTTTGTAACATTTGCAAGGACCAACCCCTATGGCCACCCTATCGAGTTATCTGTTTAAAATTTTCTAGTATGCAATGCTACCGAATAAGTCCCTTTAGTGAATAGCTAGTATGACAACTTTCCTTGCGCAGCACTTGATGATGAGGTTAGTGGTTCAATCAGGGTTTCATAGTTAGACTCCAAAGTATCAGCGTAGGCATAGACGTACAGCGTCCACTGTTCGTCCGTATTTCAAGCCTTCCCCAGGTGTCTGTGTCATAGGATACGAGACGGCGATCGGAGAAAGAATCAACTTTTTATTCAAGTTTGCTCTAGTCTGTGTGCAACGAACTGCAAACTACGAGGAAGTTGAGCACTGTCCTTTTGAAACACAAGCTACCCACTACCTGGTTCAATACATATTTCGGTGAGTGAACTGGAGCATATCATTTGTTTTCTGAGGACAGCTTCGCGAAACCCTAGGAAGGACTTTTCAATCAGGGCTCCCTCAGTCTTGTTTATTCATCTGTCTTAAACGATTTATTCATTTAGGCCTCAAAACTTTGGAGATGGTTGAGTTTATCAAACAAACAGGTTCTCAAATTAAAATCTTATGCTACTGCAACGTTCCTGGGGTTTACGGTTGTTCACATTTTTCTTAAGGGCGTCATACTGTGGGTCTTCCGTTGCTGGACTAACATTGTTTTAAGGGACAAGCATTCCTTTTGGCCACAATAGTATCTGGCATTGGTGGTGTACGGTTGCAGCATTGAGAAATAAATAATGACATGCACTTGAAAAGTTAAATTTTTTATCCGTTCCGAAGCGTTGCTGTCGCTCTCGTAGTGTTCAACGACTCAGTTGTGTTGCGTATGTCGGCCGGGAAAATGCCTCC